TCTCCACCTCCTATCTTTGCTCCACTTGCCCTCAGCCTCTTCTCTAAACAACAGCTTCAAAACCTTCTCAGTTTCTTAGCCTGCAAAATGCTGCAGGGAATCACCCAATTTGGGGAGAGAGGTGGGATATTGGGTGTTGCTCCCTCTCTCCCAGGTTTTGCAAGGGCTGAACATGTTGCCTGGTTTGAACTGAAGGAGCTTGACTCTCTTCTTTTGAGCAAAAGGGAACATGGGCCCCTAACTCAGGATTTTGACTGGGCACACCTACACGTAAGACATGGCACAGCATCACCTCAGCTTGTCCCTTCTCCACTCTAGACTTTAGTGTCCCAGATGCCCTTGAAATGCCATCCACACCTATGGGCTCCCTAATTACTGCCACCCACCAACTGGAACAAAAGAAAAAAGAAGGGGAAGGCCCTGAGCAATGCAGAATGGGCAGTGTAGCTAAATTCAAGCCTCACTGATGGTTGTAATGACAGCCATAGAAAGGCCAACTTACAAACAGTTATGTATTAGGGATGTGATGACCGAATCCCGCTGCTTCTGGTCACATTTTGGGTCCCAGATCTTCTTCTCTGTCTCTTGCTCCAGTCCCCATACACTGCTCTGCTGCCCAGCCCCTCTCCAGCCCCCTTCTCCTTGAAGCACTTACTGAAACTGGGGAAGCCAGCCCTTGTTTCGGGGAAGAGTGTCACTTCCCATTAATTTTGGAAAATGTTTCATGCAAGCTGGGGTAGGGGCATGTTAGTAAAATTCTTAGTCATTGACCCCCTGTGAGCCAGCAAGTTTGCTAGTGAATACATGGAAAAAGAGACTTTTATGACATGAAAACAGCAAAACTAGCAGGTGGTTTCAAAGGAATTTCACTAACTCTAAGCAGTTGAGAAGCTGCAGCTGATATTTCCAATCGCACACACAAAACACCAATCAAACAGAACAGCAATGCTGTTAATCTTTAGTCCTGTCCCCAGTAATGCCAAGTAGCACTTGCTTCTGAAAGCAGGAAGAAAACTTGGAAAGCATGTGGAATTTCTTCTGTGCTGAAACTAAGCTAAAAGCTTTGCATAAGTTTGCCAGTCTCAATGATTCAAGCCCCCAATACTTAGTGAAAAATAAGAACGACCATCCCAGATTCCCATGTGCCTGTCAGATTCCTGCCTTTTTTTTTAAAGTTTCTGCAGTTCTTTAGTACCCCTAATGTCCTAGAATATCTCAAAGTAGATATGCAAGATTCAGTTCTAGTGTTAAATGACATTTGAACACAGAATCCCCATGATTAAAAAGAGATTAAGTTGAATTAGACTTACTGATTTCTTACATAGAATAAAACAAGAGAAGCGAGTAGAGAGCACTAGTTTGCAAAGCTTTTTATACAGCTTCTGAAACTACCTGGTGCACCAGAAACACCCTTTTGTGTTTATCAGATGCAAAACTTTCTGTTGTGGATACCACACCTTTAGTGGAAATAATTGTTTTCCTTGTTTTTTTCTGATTAGTATCTGTTGTCTGCTTCCTGGTGTTCCACATGCACAGTCCAAGTGTTTTCCATGCAAAACATTTATTGGCCAACTACATTCATGGTTTTATTGAGATGACTTAAGGGAGGTGACACTGGGAGCAGAGGGTAAAACTTGCTGACACTCAGTTTCCTTTTTGGGAGAATTTTTTCAGAACTTTGAACTTAGCATCGAGCTTGATTCAGAACAGAAACAAATAGTTTCATCATGTACCACAAAGGTAGAGCTAACTGGCTGTTTTCAACTATTTTGACATTAAAATCTTAGAGAAGGTTTCCAAAGAATAGTTTTGTTTTGTTTCTAATAGTGCCCAGTTCCCCAAGCACTAAAAGGAAAGAGAAACAGGAAGGAGTGTCCCAGAGCTCCCAACACACTTGGAAAGAGTTCAGAGTTACTCGGATGCGGATTGTACCATAGAGAAGGGTCTTCGTGTTCCCCATCCCTTGTTCAGACAAGCCCACAGCACTTAAATTTTGCTCAAGACACTTCAACTCTATCCCCAAAAGCCAGCATAGATCAAGTGTTCATGTTCCTAGAGGAAGTAATGGGATGTTTTAAGGTGAATAGGACTTCCTTACTGAGGTTTTAATTTTTAGGAACTGTCATCTGCAGAGGAGAGGTGGACATTTTTCACTTGGGCAAGATGTGACATCTTATGACAAATATTTCCATTTTGTACTGTCTACTGAACTTGATATCTCCACTAGCAGCTAAGAAACTTCTGGACTTTCTTTTTCCTCAGCAGTCTTCTCCTCTTTCTAAAAGTGAAAGAAGATGGCAACATGATGTACATGATCACTGGTTATTTCAAGAGATGGTCTAGGAGAAGCTTGCCCCCTCCAAAAAAGTGACATGAAAACCAAACACAGACATGGCTCTGAAAAATGTATACTGTTGTTCATAATACATGTGGAAGTCCAGTATGTCAAAACTAATTTAATCAGGGACAACACTATTGTTATTTTGCAACACAATCTTATGGGGCTCAGTCAGTCAGCTACTGGTTGCACATGAAGCAGTCAGAACTATCAACTTGCATTATGTCATTTACTGGCAATAATGTGTCCTTCCCTTCAATGTGCCACCACGTAGTCTCACAGAAAATAAGGATAATAACAGCCACAGTGCATATTCTAATGTTCTCAGAATTTAGGATCTCAAAGCACTTAATTAAGACTCATTAAAGCTGTTACAGGGCCAAATCATTACATTACTGCAAACTTCATACTTTCCTACAGGAAGACAACCCTGTATGTAGCAATGCAGTATCTGAAAATGCAGATCAAGCTCACTCATGTCTATGCCTTAATTAGGTCATGGGTTATTATAGCATTACGTTCTTTAGGTTTTAAATTTGCATTTAATTTCCATTTAAAAAAACAGCGGTGGGTCTCTCTGTCTTTTTGTGGAAATAAGTCTTTTAAATTTCATAATACAGATCTGCTGGTGGTATCACTTAATGCAGCAATCAAGTTCCCGGACAAGAGAAAAGGTTGAAAGACTTTTCTCCTTTCTGAAACAAAATGAAAACGTTCTTGGGGTGTTTTTCTGTGAGAGGGTGGGAAGCTGTTTGCAAAACATGGCTCCTACCACACACCAGGTCTGGGCAGTGTTCAGATTAGCTCCATCATCCCAACACACTTCACCTCATTAAGAACTAGGCCTGTGTGAATAGGAAACTATTAGATTCGGAATAGGGTTTGGCCGATTTGGATTCATCTGATTAAATTCAGAGATCTGAATTTCTTTTCTGATTCGATTCGACTAAATCGATTTGGAAAAGAGCCACCTCAGAGATTCGGCCATAGGGTATAATGCGGAATCAATGAAATATCTATAACTTTGTTGTTTGTGGCTGATTCAGATGAAACTTGCATGGGTGGTAGCTGATGCTGAGGGCATGAAGCCTGCCAATGTGATAGGTGCAGGGGTTTCTGGGAAACTGCACCTCAAAGTCCTGAAAGCAAAACTCATGTCATGGGTGTGTGTTAAGCCACAGCGGGGTGAAAACTGCAGGGATGGTAGCTCTTGGTGAGGCCACAAAGCCTGCCAGGTTTCCAGGAGATAGGTGCAGGGGTTTCTGGGAAACTGCACCTCAAATTGCTGAAAAGCAGACCCCATGTTTTCTTTTCTTCTACAACCATCCCCAGCCATCCCCAGCAGGCAGCTCACCAACAGGCGTCTGCCATGAACCCTGATTCTGCCACACTGGTGAAACCACTGGAGGTCAGTAAATAAAATAATTTGTACTTGACATGAGGCGAATTAAGCTGGAGGGGGAGAGGGGTCGTCAGGTAGGCAATGGTAAAGTCACTAAAGTCCATCCAGATTTTCCCTTTTTTCTTTTTTTTAAGTGGGGTTCTGTACACCTTGAGGCATTTGAAGTCCTTCTACCAGTCAACGGGCATTAGCTAGCTTTGCTAGTCATTGAATCAGAAAATGTTGGATGCATTTCTGAGCATAATAAATAAAGGCTCCTTCCCCACTTTGAGTTTCAGAACCCCCCACATGTAAGACAATGGAGAAACTAGTGTGTCTCCTCTGATTGTTGTCACTGGAGAGTTTGAGAATCCAAATGAAAACAATGAATGGGGCCTGTCAGACTAAATTTGGTGTTATGTATCCTTCCCATAAGGAAACTGTTTCCATTATTCTACCAAAGTAGAAAAAACGGCATCACAGAAAGCATGTGAGGAAACAATCATGCAGCAGAATATTGGAAATACATAGATCAGGCACCATCACACAGATGCTGAGTCCAGGTCTTTCAAGCACTCTGCAGTCTCCATTCTCTCCTGTAATCGTACAGGAGGAAACCTTCGTCATCAGAGTTCATGCACAAGTAGGATTGTACACAGGCCCTGGGCTCCCCCTTTTTCACAAAGACTTGTTTAAAAATCAGGTTTCCAAATCAGCTCTGTTTCAGATTGATTGGCCTTACTTTGGCCATGCTTTCAATTAAAGAAGGTTGGAGGTTGAAGCAACTGGGAGGGGGACATGGGAGCAACTGTTCTCTGTTTTTAATGGTATAGGAGGAACAGATTGGAGAGAGTTCAGTGCTGGCATTATGTTTCTGCAGTGTAGAAAGCGCAGTATTATCACTCCTGGAGTCGTGGCTCAAAAAGACAGGGTGCTCTATATGAGAAAAACTAGCAAACACCTGACCTGCCCTAGGAGGAAAGAAGAGGGCACAGAGACATGTTCCAGAGCTCATTTTCTTCTCTGTGTAGGACTTACATGTGAATTAAGTCACGCTGGTAGCTGGGCTCTGCACAGGAGGAAATTTCACCAACTGGTTTTCAAATAAGGAATGGAGGGGAAAAGAAAGCCAGGAGGCAAATATTATGCTGCAGAGTAATTTTAATGCACAGAAGAAAGTGAATATACAGACACAGAAGGCATAAAGGGGAGACAGCAAATATTTCCAAGGTTTTCCAAAGGGCCACACCTGAGATTCTACACCTGGTCCATTTTCTACAAGGTGTGTGTCCTTCTTTGCAGCAGCAGACTTTTCCTATCAAGCTGTTTCCATCTATTTATTCATTACTTTTCTCCAGGAATAATGTCACATGAGACAAAGCACAAGGTAAAGAGGGGAATGAGCAGCTTCTCAATGATGCAGTCTGTGTAGCCAACTTTCATGTTAGAAGTAAAGGATAAAAGAGCATCTTTTTTCTGTTCACACCAAAAACCTTTGACAGCACTGTGGCTGTGTCACGTGTTCTGCACTGGATTGCAAGTGGACTCTAGGGAAGCACAGGCATCCTTTTAAATGACAGCACAGCATGAAGAAGTCTTAATGCTTAACAGTGCAGAGAATGCAAAGTTCCTAGAGTAACAAAGCAAAGTGTAGGAAACAGGTGAATGGGGGAGGGAATCTTGTAGCAATGCCGAGCCCTCACACTGGAGGTGCTGAGTGCTTAGTCATGTCCTTTGGGTCAGCCATGAATCTGTATCTTGCTTTCCATGTCCGCGGTGGTCCAAGTGCTGTGAAAATTTGAGCTGGATTTAGCATGGCCAACACCTTCCATATCTGCCCCTACTGCGCCACCCTGGGCACCAGCACCATCCCTGCCAAATTAGCTGTCCAGTGCATGGATTATAGCAACAACACCAACATCGCCTTCTACAGGGGGGTCTCCAACAACAAGTTGGGTACTGGTAGTACAGGTCTTCAGTCATGTCCAGGCTGTCAGACATCTTGCTGTGCTGGAGGCGAACCTGAAACACAGCAGGGAGCAGAGGAAACATGACACGTGTAGTTCTGGTGGGATCAAGGGTCAAAACGTGGGTGCGACTCTCACGGGAATCTGGCAGGGAACTGTGGGGATGGAGCAGGGAAATGCTGACCTCAGCCCTCCTTTGTCCTGGTGTCACTGCTCTCCTTTCCTCCACCTCGTCTCTTTGCTCCACTTGCACTCATCCTCTCCCCTAAACAGCAGCTTCAAAGCCTTCTCACTTTCTTTGCCTGCAAAATGCTGCCCGGGGCCCCGGTGGGGCAGCTGCAGCAGGAGTGGGGGAGGGAGCCTTTAGTCCAGGCCAAGGCAGCCCCTGGCCCGATGGTGCAGGCACAGTCCTGGGACGTAGGGAATGTGCATTCACTTCAGGATCCAGAACCCAAGTCTTCCTCTTTTAGTGTCTTACCGCTAGGATCTGGGGTGCAAGGGTATATTTCACCTCTGCAGCTTGTTGCACCACAGGAAAGATTCATTCTTATGCAGTTTCCAGCTAGGATCCCAGAACTGCGGGCAAAGTCAGGGCTACAGGGAATCACTCCAGTTCTGGAGAGAGGTGAGATGTCAGATATTGCTCCCTTTGTTCGGAGCCTTGCCATGGCTGAACCTATTGCCTGGTTTGGATTGGAGGAGCTTGAGACTTTTCATCTGAGCTAAGGGTGCCCTGGACACCTAACTCAGGATTTTGATTGTCACTCCTGACAATTCACACCTACACTTTGCAAAAGATATTGTACAGCATCACCTCAGCTGGTCCCTCTTTCATTAGTCATTAGTATTCCAAGTGCCCTTGAAATACCAACCTCTCCTAAGGGATCCCTAATTCTTGCCAACAAACCAACAGCAGCAAAAGCAACAAAACCAAAAGAAATACACTGAACATTGCTGAAAATCAATAAATACAAGTCAAAGATCAATTTTTAAATGAAAAAAAAACTTAACGGTAAATATCTGTAAGAGATCAAGCATGTGTTGGTCTTACCTGGCTTACTAAAGAGGAAAGATGAGAAGTGATTAAAACACCCGCATTGCCGAGCCCTTTTATACAGTTCTCAAACCGCCGGAAGAGTCTGAAGCATCTCCTGTACCTGAGGTCCTTATTAGCTACAAAACATGCATGTGCCGTGTGTGCCAACCCTCCAAATACTGTAATTGGTTCGCTCCGTGTTTTTAATTATTGTTTTTTTTTCAATTGAGTTTATGATTAGGAAATTACCCCCACACTCCCAGGTATCTTTTAAATTAAAACTTTATGGTTCAACCTTCTTCCTGGTCTTGCTCTATGGACTTCATTGGAGTTGAAAGGTTGGGTGTAAATCTGCAGGCTACCCAGAGCAGTTGGTGGTGGGACCATTTGCACTCATGTGCATGAATCCAGTTTAGTCCACGCTCTGATATGCTTGGGGTTCTGAAACTAGAACTGCGGAAGGGGCCATTATTTAGTATGATTGAGTGGCCACCAAAATCAATGGTAGTCAGCCCATTGACTGTTGGAAGGACTTCAGATTCTTCACACGTCTTGTGAACCCCACTTAAAATTTTGTAAAACCTGGAAAACCTGGCTCAAATTTAATTTTGTATTATTTCATTTTCTTTTGTTTTGTATTTGTTTTTATTTGTTTTGGCGCTGCACTAAATTCCCCCTTGTGTCAATTAAAAATGCATTTGTTTATTGACCTCCAGTGGTTAAACCCATGTGGCAGGATTCAGGGTTCAGAACAGAAGCCTATTGCTGTGCTGCCTGCTGGCGATGGCAGGGGTTGGTTTAAGGAGAAAAGAAAGCATGGGGTCTTATGAAAGCTCTTAGTTACAGCTGTAACATTATATGACATGGATGTCCTTGACTTTTTCCATTGCTAGCCAAGACAGTCGCAAGTTCATATTTTGCAAATGCAAAGCCTAGAAACACATGCAAGCAAGATAGGAAAAAGAAACATTCCTGGTCATCAAGGAGCTGTAGAGAGAGAGAGGGGCGGGGGAGAGAACAACGTGGTTATATTTTGCTTCAATATTTTCCTCCTTAACATTCACTCTGCCCCCGTAAGAGGCTTGTGACCTTCTGGATGGACCTATGATCTGTCCCGTGTGGCATTTCTTGTGTTCCTACTGAGGTGAAGTGTGTTGAGATGATTGAGCTAATCTGAACCCTGACCAGACTTGCGAGGAGCTTCTCACCCTTTTACAGAATAACACTCCAACAAAGTTTTCATTGAATTTGGGGAAGGAGAAGACTCTTTCCATCTCTCTCTTTCATGTGCCCTAGAAGTTTATTGCTGAGCTAAGTGATACCACCAGCAGATCAGGCCTTTGAACTCTTGAAGAAAACTGGTTAGAGAAAAGAGAGAGAAACCTACTCATTGTTTTTTAATGCAAATTAAAAAGACCCAAATTCCAAGGTTATAATAAGACATGCCTTAATTAAGGTGCAAAAACCTCTAAAAAATGGCATAAAAAAGGAGTGAGCTTGATTGGCATTTTCAAAGAGTGTGTATCGCTACATACAGGGGAGTCTTCCAGTAGCAAAGTATGAATTTTGTAGTAATGTAATGATTTGCCTCTGTAATTAGTGTTAATGAAGTGCTAGAATATCTACCCTGTCTGTTATTATCCTTATTTTTTGTGAAACTAAGAAGTGGGATTTTGAGGGGAAGGTCAAGTTATTGCCAGTAAATGACTTAAGAGACCTGATAGTCCTGCCTGCAACGTGTGCAGCCTGCAACCGACTGAGTGAGCTCTGTGAGAGTGTATTGCAAGATAACTTTAGTGCTTTGGACAATTAAATAAGGTTTGGCATTTTGGACTTGTAAATTGTCATGAACAAGAGTATAATTATTTCAGGGCCATGGCTATGTCTGGCTTTAATATCTCTTGTTTTTTTGGGTCAAGCTTCTTGTGAATCATCTTCTGAAATGAACAGTGACCAAATGCATCATGTTGCCATCTCTTTGCTCTTCTCCTCCTTCGTGCAGGAAGAGGAGAATTCTGCTGAGGAAAAACCAAGTCTCAAAGTTTGTGAGCTGCTAATGGAGATGTCAAATTGACAAGTTCAGTAGATAGCACAAAGTGGAAAGTTTTGTTATATGAAACAGCACGTTGCTCAAATGACAAAAGTTCTACGACCCTTAATCTTAATGAGAAACTTCTTAAAACATGTCATGATTCCCTCTAGGGATGTGAACACTTGAACAATGCAGGTGTTTTGAGGATGGAGTTGAAGTGTGTTGAGTGGAATATAAGTGCTGTGGGATTCTCAGAACGGGGACGGGGCAGGTGAAAACCCTTCTCTGAGGTACAACCCAGCATCTGAGTGACTGAACACTTTCTGGGGGGGTGCTGAGCTATGGGACACTCCTTCCTCTTCCTCCTTGAAGTGGTTTGGGTCTTTTGTAGCACTATTAGAAGCAAAACAAATTTATGGAAATGTTCTCTAGGATTAAATGTTTTGAAAACACCTGGTTAGCTCTACCTTTGTAGTAAATTGTGAAAATATTAGCTTCTTTTCTGAATCAAGCTCAGTGCTAAGTTCAAGGTTCTAATAATTTCCTCTGAAAAAGGAAACTCTGAGTGTCAGCAAGTTTTACCCTCCCCTCCCAGTGTCACCTCTCTTAAATCATCTCAGTAAGACCAGGAAAGTAGTTGGCTCGGCAGTTTTTAGGATGGAAAAACATTGGCATGTGCATGTGAAATACAGGGAGGCAGAGGACAAACTAATAATCACCAGCAACAAGGAAAACAATTATTTAATGTTAAGGTGTGACATCCACAACAGCAGATTTTGCAGCTGATAACCAAAAAAGGGTGTTTTCCATGCACCAGGAAGTTTAGGAAGCTGTATAAAAGGGTTTGCAAACCAGCGCTCTTTACTCTCCCTGGTAAGCCAGGTAAGTCCATTTGAACTCAATTTCTTTTTTACTATGGGGATACTGTGTTAAACAGTCTTTAACATTAGGACTGAATCTTGCCTATATACTTAGCAATATTTTAGGATATTAAAGGGAACTAAAGAACTGCAGAATGGGACCAAAGGGAACTAATGAGAATTAAAGGGAACTAAAGAATGAATGTTGGGTGTTTGAATCATTGAGACAATCTTCATACTCAGTTCTTAAAGGGAACTAAAGAACTGCAGAATGGGACCAAAGGGAACTAATGAGAATTAAAGGGAACTAAAGAATGAATGTTGGGTGTTTGAATCATTGAGACAATCTTCATACTCAGTTCTTAACTCAGTTGTGCACAGAAGAAATTCCACAGCACAACCTTTCCACGCTTTCTTCCTGTTCTCGGAAGCAATGCCACTTGGCATTATTGAGGACAGGAGAAAGATTAAGAGAATTGCTGTCCTGATCCACTGGGTTTTTGTGTGTGTGATTAGAAATATCGGGTGCCATAAGACCTCCTTTTTCATATATTCATTAGCAAACTTGCTGAATCACAGTGGGTGAATCGCTAAGAATTTTCCTTACATGTCCCTACCCTAGTCCGCATGAAACGTTTTCCACAATTGATGGGAAGTGGCACTCTTCCCCAAAACAAGGCCTGTGTTTCCCAGTTTCAGTAAGTGCTTTGAGGAGAAGGGGGCTATAGAGGGGCTAGACAGCAGAGCAGCCTAAGGGGACTGGAGCAAGAGACAGAGAAGAAGAATTGGGATCAAACATGTGACCAGAAGCAGAGGGATTTGGCCATTGCATCACTGATCCATCTCATTTTCTAAGTTGGCCTTTCTACGGCTGTCACTGCAGTCATCGGTCAGGCTTAAATTACTACACCGCACCTTCTGCGGTGCTTAGGATCTGTCCCTTGTTTTTGTTGCTTTTGTTGCAGTTGGTGGGTGGCAGGAATTAGGGAGCCCACAGGTGAGGTTGGCATTTGAAGGGCATTGGGGACACTAATGACCAGAGTGAAAGAGGGACCAGCTGAGGTGACGCTGTGCCACATCTTGTGCAAAGTGTCAGTGTGCCCAATCAGAAGTGACAATCAAATCCTGAGTTAGGTGTCCATGGCCAGCTTAGCTCAAATGAAGAGACTCAAGCTCCTCCTGTGCAAACCAGGCACCATGTTCAGCCAATGC